GACAGTAGGTAGACTTTTTCATAATTATAATGTATATAAAACATATAAAAAAAACCTTCAGTTTTTTTTACTTTTGCCATCTGCGTTTTACTTTCTTCATATCAAATATTGTATTCTAGATTCAAATTTCAATATATCTTCCACAGTCACCCTCTAATTGTAAATTTCTTTAAATTTTAACTAATTTGTTAACCTTTTTTCAATTTTGTGAATAGTGAGGGTGGCATGATTCCTTAATTCCACACAGGCTAACTTGCTTCTGGAGATCAGATTTGATTTGTAAGGGCTTATCCCACACTCACTATTCCCAATACCAGTACTTTGTTTGTTTCTTGTAATTTTTAATTTGTTCAAACAATTGTATATATACTATTTTAACTTTTGACTTAAAAGTCTAATTCAGATTTTATAATATATTTTTTAAAATTTTTTTAAATTGTAAGTTTACATCCACAATTTTTGTAGATGAGCACTGATGATGGCAAATAAGCCGAAAGCGCTTTGCATTGATTAATAAAAAAGTTTTGCACGAAATACAAGTTTTTCCTTTTGAAATTAATGGATAAGCTAATAAAGAATCACAGTCGTGAATCACAAAAGCGGGAATATTATCAGGACCCGTAGTTCTTTTGGATTTGAGTTGTTTAGTCGCTGAAAGAACTTCATCTTGGGTAAAATTATTTATATATAAGGAATCTTCATGCACCAAAACATCATCAAGAGCGTCAATATCAACAGATGTAGATAGAATATACGATTTACTAAATAAATCTGCAAAAGTATTTATGATGTCTGAAGCGTCACTTAACTCACTGAAGTTGTTCCACTTCTTTGATTAACAAACGCTCAAAATTAGCTTGAGTCTAAACACATCTATGATTCAGTAAACTTCACACGATCAGAATCAGAATACAACGTATCTAAATCCGCCTCAATCTCTGAAACTCTCTAAAGGCTGCTTCATCGCTATATTTTTTGTAAATGGAATGAAACTTTGCCTTTCTCTTAATTTTGAAAATAACCGAAAAAAAAACTAAATCAAATATTAAATGACATCTCCATTGGTACAACTATACACAATATTATGTGGGAATCACTATATTGGAATGCATTAGAAAAATTTTGCTTGTGTAAACTATGACCCTCACTACCATCTAGACCCCACTTGTATATAACATCAACTTTGGTTATTTTCTCTGGAATAGTATATAAGACTTCATCCTGGATTTAAACCAAACGAGTTCAATCAAGTAGAACCGTTTAAATCGCATTTTCAAATGTTTGTTATTATCCAAACTCCAGTTCTGGGAATCAAACTTATCCAAATGTACATAACTAATTGTTCTAAACACTTACTAAAAGATAAACTATTTTTTTTTTATTTTTCAACGCTAGGAAAAATTCATTTTTACTAACACTAAAATAGTGTGCAGCGGTTTGTTCAGCGCAGCTACCGGCAAAAAATACTCTGTATATAAAATTGATCTTTTAAGATAGCTACTTATTTAGTAATATTTTAGTATACCCTTCATCTTACATACAAACGGTAAAAGACAAGAGAATTCTGCGAAACTCTTTATGAAAAGATTTCGCGAAAACTATATATCCGTTCAAAAACAACGTCATAGGTACAAAGCTCAAATATATATTACAATATTTTTGTTTGTCTAAGTTGTTACGGTTTCAAAATTACAACTCTATAATACTCTCCGAACTAGTAAGAAAAAATATCCTATAAAAGACTAAATCTAAAGCCTGATGATATTTAGTGGAGTAGTCTTTCTCGCCCAGCTGATTCTGGTTATCTGAAAAAATAAAATAAAACAAACCTTTAGTATTTAAAGAACCGAATTCTAAGTCCTGAAGCTACTGACTGACCTTTATCAGTTAGATTTTTCACTTTAATATCCTGTTTATATTATCCTTCTATTTATATTTCCCATGTCATTGAGATTTCTATCCTAAAATAAGTAATAACAATTATAGTTATTTATTTTAATAATAGAAAGGGTTTGTTTATTTTTATTGTGTCACTTGTCCTTGACCAGATTTGGTTTTGGGTGAACAAAAGTACAGTTAGAACTTATTAGACAAGGTTAGACAATGGGACTATAATAGTAATTGTTTATAAGTAGGAAGAGATAGATACATTTGTTTAACATTTTTAAAGAGAACTCAAACTCTGACTTCCAACCTTTTTTTTTGTGTTATTTGGACACTTTTCTAACATGAGTTGCTAGGCTGCAGAAAGTTCTGTACCTCCTCGTTTTTGAAAAGGAATCTGCAAATTAATTTAGGACCAAAATATTATTTGGTATATATTACTGGTACCTAATTTGTTAGATAGGAGATAAATCTAATAATTACCCAAATAATATTGGATTTCACTACTTGGCCACCCTCCATCCTAGGTAACTCTCTTTGAATTTGGAACATTATTATAAAAACCGTCGATCACTTTTGTTGTGCATATTTTCATATTAAATGTTTAATTAAGTTATTTAATTACATAAGTTGTTAGATATTCAGTAACTTGGATAGTTTTTACCCTTTTAGGCCTGCAAGTTTTACGTTAACTTCCCGTTAACCCTAATTTCTACACTTCAACTTAAGAGCGATATCCATGGTTAAAAACGGGCTCGAAACGGCTACAAGGTTTTCTCTTTCAATTTCGAATATTTTTTTTTGAAATTTTCTATACCTGCTTTGTAAATGATAGAGAATCCCGCTGTAGAGCCCAAATTCAAAAAAACATATTTTTGTAATTTTTCTTCTCAAATTTGGAAAATTATTGCAAAAAGGAATCTTTACCGGGAATTGTTATATAAAAATCAACTAATTCTTTCTTATAAATTTTTTTGTCCATAGCGTATATTTTTTGAAAACCTTGATTTACGAAAACTGAGAAAATGTATCAAGATTTATATTCATATAAATTGATTTGGCAACAAGGCGGCGGACGTGTGTGCAGTACCCGAACCGAAAGTATTTATTCGATGGCTTTGTCTTGAAGTCGCTGAAATTATTCAAAAACTTTTTAGTTTCTTGGAATTTAATATATTTATTATTTTGTTTTTAATTGCTGTAATTAGGTATAGTTTATTTTGTATATAGGATTGGGATTAAAGTTTGGAACAGTAAATATCTTTAAAACGAAAAGGACGATATTTATGAAACTTTGCAGGCGAGTTATTGTCAGAAGGTGAACGGCGAGCATTTTGAATATTTGAAGTGATTTTGTTTAAAGTATTATTCTCATTAGACTAAAGTAAATAAATTTACCTATTCTTTAAATGTAAAGTGATTTATTTCTCGTTTTTATAAATAATTTCCACTAAACTTAGTATGTACGAATTCGGAATAACAGGATCTTTTAAAATCTGCAAAAATATACAAGGTGTCCCCTCTAAATTACAAAAGTTGAGGGTATTTCCGGTGAAACCGGAAGTACAGTAGTAACAAAAAATATGGCATCAGATGCGTTATGCGTCATTGTATTGGCCTGCAAAGTTTCATAAATATCTAGTTATAATTGGGATTAAATAAAATATTAACAATTGAAATGGCAAATTTTTTAATCGCACCGTCGCGTCGTTCTATCGTGTGCATGGAAGAGCTTCTCAAAATAAAAAAAAATAAATTATAATTTCGTTCAGGGTACACACCAAGAGAAAAATTTCCGGAATTTTTTCTAGTTGTCATGGAAACTTTATAACAAAAAAGCATTTGAGTTACTATAAAATAGAGGTGTCAAATTTTCACTTATAATACCACTAGTGCCTAAAAAATTTCCTGATATTAATTTAGGCACGTGTGGTATTCGGTAAGAAAATTTTACATCGAAATATCAAATTTTGACAGACATGAATTAGAACGGCTAAAATAAAATTTGCAAAGTTGGCCATGCCAGTTATTCCTATTTGTCATATTTGAAGTCGACGCGAAAAACCTAATTAATGTGTTACTTATAATAATTGTACTGTATTTCTATCTAGTTATAATTGGTGTAAAATTATTAACAATAAAAATGGCAAATTTTTTAATCCCTCACACCGTCACGTCATGTCATAATGTAATGGAAGAGTTTCTTAAACGTCAAAAAATTTCAGTTGTAATTTCATTCAGGTGCGCCCTCCAAGAGAAAAATAAATTTCCGGAATTTTTTTCTGTTTGTATTGGATACGTTTTGAAACAAAAGCATTTAACTATAAAACGGAGGTGTAAAATTTTTTCAAAAATGCTTCAGTGCGTTTTTGTTTTCGAGCAATTCTCTAGTACTATTAGATTGTAATTTAAGACACTTTCATTACAGAATTGTATCTTCACAAGTTTCAGTTTCTGAATTTAGGACCTCGACGGAATATAATTCCGGTGCTCGTAATGTAATCAAGTGTAGGCTACTGGGATGAATCTGATACCTCACATAAAGATGAAACACCTGAATTCAGGATTTCGGCGCAATATAATTCCGGTGAATATAATGTAATCAAGTAAGAATTGTATTTTTTTTAAATTTTTTTCTGATTATATTATCATAAAATTACGTAAAAAATATTATAAAAAAATGGTTCCTACACAGATATTTATTCGGAAATTTTTATTTCAGTAAAAAATTAGAATCTTCCCCTGTTCCTGGGTGTAGCTACTGGAAAGAATCCAATTCCTCTCATGAAGGTGAGACACCTCCAGCAAAAAGAAAATGCAAAGAACAAGAAAAAATCAAACCGGAGGGTAGGAGGAGGGTAGATTTTTAATTTTGCTTCAAAGAAATTCAAAAAATTTCACACCATGCCTTATTTAATTGTACTTTAAAAGATATGGAAATTAATCATGAAAATAGAAATGGATTATGTAGTAGATTTTTAGTGAGGTGTAAAATGTGTCTTATTGAACATTGTATAAAAATTTTTGGGGACTTTGAGCACACGATGAATATAAATGTAGCTGCAGCATTAGGAGCACTCTCGATAGGAATAGGTTTTTCTTAAATTGAAGAATTCATGGCTGCCTTGAATATACCATTTATGTCTCCTGGAAAATATCAAAGTTGTCACGAAAAATTAGCAGGTCACATTCACAATAAAGCTTGTGAAAATATGGAGAGAGCAGCTACTGAGGAAGCTAATCTGGCACGCGAGCTTGGCGAAGTTGATGACAAAGGTCATCCTTATATAACTGTTGTTGGCGACGGAGCACGGAGTAAGCGCTCATATAATGTAAATTATAATGCACTATCAGGAGTAGCATGTGTTATTGGAAAAATAACGGGTAAAATATTATTTTTAGGAGTAAGAAATAAATATTGTTGTATTTGTGAAAGGGCTATCGCCAAAAACATACAACCAATACCTTATCATAAATGTTATAAGAACTGGGATAGTACCTCTACAGGTATGGAAACTGATATTATTGTGGAAGGATTTAGGTGTAGTTTAGAAATGTATGGACTAATTTTTTTACGACTTGTAGGTGATGGCGATAGTAGCATGTACAATAAATTAGTAAAAACAAGGCCCTATGCGAATACTTTAGTGCAGAAAATAGAATGTAAAAATCACTTACTTAGAAATTTTTGCAGAAAATTAAGGGAAATATCCGGTAAAAAACGAAGTACCTCTAAAAATTGTGCAGTTCCAATATTTTTAAGGAAACACGTTTTAAAAAGTATTTTACGTATCAGAACTGCATGTAGTAAAGCGGTTTTATATCGGACAAATGAAGAAAAACCACTTACAGAAAAAATACAGCTTTTGTGTAAAGATTTAAAAAATATACCATCACACGTATTTGGTGAACATTCAAAATGCCAAGAAATTGGGTACTTCGAATGCAAACCGAATCAATCCTAGTGAAAAAAACTACATTAAAGAAATGAAAAATTGTGGTTTACAATTCGATAATATATAAGTTTGTTGGTGGAAACCGTATTAATTTTTCTCTAAGAGGATCATACGCTTCGAGGTGTGAAGCAGCCTCAAGATATTTTAATGTAGGCAGATCTTCTGATTACTACAAAGAGGTTTTTAAAGCTGTTACTAACAAAAGTCCAACGGGTAACACAAAAAAATATTCCAATAAAATTACAAGACGTAGGCTTTGGCATGAAAAAAATATAAAAGGAAAACGTGTCTTTAAAAAAAAGGCAAAACAAAGTTGTCTTCCTGATAAAGATTACGGTTTGCAAACTTTGGACAACAAGGAAAAAATTCCAGATATACCTGACAATGAGTACGAAGATAAAAAAATTACCTTTCTGAAACAACTTCACATATCATCGAATGAAATCATACAACTTGAAAAAGAAACGAGAGGGAAAGCTGGCAACCCAGTTTGGAAACAAGCCAGAAGTACCCGCTTAACCGCGTCAAATTTTGGAACCCTATGCAAAATGCGTCCAAAAACAAGTTGTACGAATTTTATTAAAAACTTGTTATGTTCCAATTATATGGGAAATGAATATACTAAGTATGGAATTGAAAAAGAACCTTTAGCTAAAGAGGTATTTAAAGTGGAGGGCAAACAATGTGGTTTATTTGTGGATTCTAAATATGGTTTTTTAGGCACAAGTCCGGACGGTGTAATAGGAACGAGAGTATTATTGAAATTAAATGTCCAGCAACTGCTTCAAAACTGACTCCGGAAAAAGCAATAGTTGAAAAAATTATAAAATTTGCAATTATTCATGACAATGGCCAAATGCAATTAAAACGAACTCATAATTATTATTACCAGGTTCAGGGACAACTTCACGTAACTAAAAGAAATATTTGGTTTTTTATTGTATGGACACCTTTAGGTATGTTAGTGGAAAATATAAAAAGATGATATATTTTGGCATAACGAAATGGAAAGCAAACTAAAACAATTTTATTTAGGTTGTATACTACCCGAGATCTTAGATCCACGTTTCACTAAAGGCTTAGATACTAGAAATCCGACCAGAAATTAGCCAAAAAAAATTATTATTTTTATTTATTTTTTTATTGAGAATCATATACTAGATTATATTTTTTTATTTTAAAAAACGTTTTATATGTACGAGTAGTACTAGAAAATGATTTTGAATGGATTGTTTTACTTTTTTATATATGAGTATGTAATTATTATACTACTTATGTATTTTTATTTTATACGGGTGTAAATAAGTGCGAAAGATTATAGGTGGTGATTGTAGAAGTTATTTTGTTAAAAAAGTGCCTTTAAATGTAGTTTGAAATATGCTTCGTTTTCGAAATACAAAGTGTTTAAATTTTACCACCAACTTCTTTATCAAAATAACTTCGGCAACAATCCCCTAAAATCTTTTCCACTTACTTAGAAACAACCTTTATATAGAGCTAAGAGAATTTATAAATACTTTTTGAATATTTGCTTCTGAAATACCCATAGAGAAATACCCTATATATGTATGGGTAAATAAATAAAAAATATATTTCGTAAATAAAATATTTAGTAAGAAAAAAAAAGTTTTATTAATATAATGTTATAGGTACTTTTATTTTCAATTTAATTTCTAATATGTGCCAATTGTATTCTGATGATCAGTTTGGTATAATAAGATGTTTTTCAAAGCAATCTCCATGCTACTGCTATCAAAAAACGAGACAAACAAAACCGAATGGTTCCGAAAATTTGTGTTACACCAGGTTCTAGATACCTTCAAAAAATATTTTTAACAAGGAAAACAAAAAAATTACTCATTGTAAGACCGGACCTACTATTCATCGTCGTATTGAATCAATCATCTGAGTTAACACATTGAAATTGATTAATGAAAATTTTCGATTTTATCAAAAATAAACGTACTTTACTCTTGAGCAAAATTCATATTTTTTGACAAACCTCGTATACGACTTGAAAAATTTAAAATCTGATGACTGTATTTTAGGTTTTGGGTCATGCAGGACTTTTTATCAAGAATAACTTTTTTTCATAAAATCTATAATACATTTTTTCCATATGGTTCCAACTTAAGTAGACACACTGTATATGTATATTTCAAATCCTATATGAGTCGGTACATGTGGAAAGAGCTTTCTAGTATTATCTTGGATGTATCGATGTAGACTAAGTGTCGCCCTATAGAGCAGGACCGGTATTGAGCAATTCGCACAACAATAGAATAAATTTATTTTATTAATTGATAGTAATAAAAGTTTGTATTTCTTAACTGTAGAGCTTAGCAAGATTTTTTAATTATTTAAGCACATGTTTTATTCAATTATATTTGGTTATATCGTGCATTACATTATCAATAAAATTAACTTTTAAAAAAAATGCTTTACTATAGACAGAGTCTACTGTTAGACTGCATATAGTCTGAATAAAAGAGGAGTGGAGTAAAAGTGGGGATATAACATCACATTCCATAGACGTAAAAAATAAGTCTATATAATATAAATAAGGTCATGGCATATAAAATGGTATATAAGCACTTCGTAGATTAAATTTTGAAAGAAAAAATAAACCTTCCTTTTTCTCGGGCAATCTCGTCTATAATATATTTTTTGAATTTGTTTTTGTTGCCTTGCTATTACGAGGAATTCTGCCTTCAAGGATTTAGGAGGACTGATAATATTTTTAGTATGAAGCCATTTTGAAATATCTTCTTTTTTCCATCTTGTTGTAGGTAGTGACTCCTTTAATCGACTGTGATAGGAGTTAGTATCCAAAACAATAACGAAGTTAGCTGGAACTTTTTTATAATGTTCTGAAACCAATTTTCAAACATAGGGTCATCCATTTCTTCATGGTAGTCTGTTGTTTTCTTTGACTCGAACATTAATAAAACATCTAGCAAAAATCCATAGGTGCTTGCAATGTGGGTTATTATTAAACGATTTCCTCTTCCTGATGAATTTCTTAATGCATCATGTACCCCTTTCAGAAAAGCTTGTTACTGTTTTGTTACTGTGTATCCTGCATATTTTATCTAAATACTATACCTGTTTATGCTGATCACTTACTTCCGCTATTTTCTTTAAATAATTTTTTGCAAATAAAAATATGATATATTTGAAAGAGGGGCTATTTTTTATTTCTTCTCTAATAACTCTCTTTTTTAATAATATCCGCTTAGATACACCAGTATAGGTCTCATATTTGGTGGCCTTTTTATCTACAGGAAGTGAAATAAAGTCTTTTCGAAGATTATTAAATACATTAAGTACGATATTTTTTCTTCTGTTTAAATTGTATTGGTTGGAGTAATGGAAAAATCTGATGTATCCAACACATAACTTTCCTATCTAGTTTGTTATTACAGGCTTTTTCCGGTTATTTTGTACAACCTATTGCAGCACCTCCATAAATGTTTAGAGGATAAAATAAATATATATATTTTCCACATACATCTACCTAGAGACATTTTTCTGTAGATATTCATTGAAAATGAAAATACTGAAAAATTTAAATTTAGCACTTTTCCTACAATTTTTCCATTACGGTCCATTTTAGAAAAATCATGTATAAATAAAAATTATAGAGATCGATATCGCAAACAACTTTTATTTCAACAATTTTCATAAAAATGAGAATTTTGCACATTTTGTCAAATTTCTCGAATACGGACCATTTCAGGAAATTTTGACATAAAGCAAAAATTATAGATAATAATATTAAAAATAACTTTTATTTAAACAATTTTTTTATCCAAACATAAATAACAGATATATTCCATAAAATATAAAAACGGCATCCATAAAGTACCCCCCAGATGTTCCGACTTTATCCAAAATCTAATCATTTCACGTCAGGCCGAAATAAAACTTAAGTTTAAAATTTAATGTTTTTTTCTTTATCCGTTTTTGAGTTTTCTTCAAATTTCGAAATTTACACATTTTCTCAAATATCTCGAATATGGTCCAATTTAGAGAAATTATGTATAGAATAAAAATTATAGAGAATTATATTGCAAACAACTTTTGTTTGAACAATTTTTATAAAAAAATATTTTTTTACATTTTGTCAAATTTCTCGAATACGAACCATTTTAGGAAAATTTTGTATGCAACAAAAATTTTAGATAATAATATAAGAAGTAACTTTTATTTAAATAATTTTTTTTCCAAACGTAAATAACACATATATTCCATAAAATATAAAAATGACCACTCATAAAGTACCCCCCAGGTGTTCCGACACTGCCCAAAATCTAATCAGCACATTGGACGCTGGAACAAAGCTTAAGTTTAAAATTTGGTGTTTTTCTGTGTATCGGTTCATGAGTTATGCGACACACAGACACACAGACACACAGGCACACACACAGACATCATCGCGACAATATCTGTATACAGATAGGAAAGTAAAAAGGGAAATTACGTATGATAAATTATCAAAAATTGGTCTAAAATGTTGAGGCGATTCCTGATATTAACTCTGGGATGTTTTCGGCTGGCCACCCTGTATATATTTTCCCATTAAATAAATTTCTTTATAGTTTTTTTCCAGTAACTTAAAGTATTTGTGTGAAGTTCTGAATAAAATTGGCGTCCAACGTTTACGGTTTATACTAACTTACACAGTTTATTGTAGGTCCCTGGTACATTAGAAATCGACAGTTAAACGTTTATCAAAAATAAGCAATAAAAAAAATACCTACATGTATGCATTCCCCATAGTCTATCCCAACAAACATAAACCATAGTACCACGGGCATGGGCAGTTGAGCAAAAATGAAACGGTTGCTGTCCACAGTGGACACCGATAAGCTCAGTGAGAAACGAGAAGCAACCCGCGGACAGATAACATCGGCTTGGGTGCTGTTGGACCATGAAGAATACATAATGTTCTAGACGTGTACAAATGTCGATCTATCATTTTTAAACAAAGATAGCGTTCCACAAGG